ACATAAAGATAATAAGATTATATCCTAATTATTATAATTTATATTCATTGTACATATTATGTACCTGTAAGTTTACTGTACAATTGGGCCACTTACTGTAGTAAAATTAAAATACAAACTTAGTATGCACTTACCATTAAACGTTGACATATTATTTTGTAACATTGGTTTAGGGGAAAAAATGATTTGATTGATGCATTGTTCTTTTTATTTTTTTTAACAGAGCATGATTTTATGTGCCGTTGCCAGTTAACTTCGTTAAGATTGGATCTAGCTTTGCCACAAAGGCACAATTCTTCACTTGGAGAAGACATTTCATTTAAATTTTTAATAATGAACTTACCGCAAAAGAAATACAATTTTAAACAAATAAGTTAGCATAAACAACTTACAAGTTACAACGGGTTGGGGGCAGTTGTCCGAAAGATTACCACAAGACCATACCAGCTGTATGGTTAATAGATATTATACCAGCTGCATATACCCGTATATCCACTATTATCATCCGTAAATTTTATTAAACCACGAACTAAGATATCTTAGTCCGTGTGCATAACATAATTTTTCTATTGCATAATTATTCTATCTATGGCAATAATATATTTATTATCATGACTCATGAGTACCAGTCCCGACAATTTTTATGGTAAAATTGATAAAAAAATCTAAATTTCCAAAAAAGTGAGTTATTGGCACTTTTTAACTAAGTACTTAGTACCTACCTAAATAAAAAGTTTCAGGTGTGGCTATAGCCCTATAAGGGCCGATTTCACCAAATACTTTAAACTTCGATTACTCTTAATCGACTGATAACAGATATTTAACCGGGCAAATTCGGCCGATTAAACACCGGTTTAACTTTAATCTAAGTTTAAAGTAGTGGTGAAAGCTGCCCTTAGCCACACCCGTGCGCACGCCTATGTGTGCATATTATATTGACCTGATACGTTCGCTATGAACGGTCTCACAAACGTTTCCCATCGGTTAATATGGGTTAGATCGGTTAAGATTGGTAACTTTTATTTGTATCGATATAAATGCTACTGAAATAGTTATTACAAACATTTCAAGTTGGTATTCTGAAAACTTGTAGCCTGTTGTTGGTTCTGAATAATATAAAAGTAATATACTCAATTTAACATGTCAATAAATATTTATTTTGCCATAGAACTTTAAATCTATAAACGAAACAATAATGTACATAGTACAAATTTAATCAAGTAAGCAAAGAATTATTATAGATAAGTATCTAATTAACATTATGCCACAGCAAAACCTTTGTTTTGGAATATATTTAATGATATGAAATAGCAGAAGGGTTTACAGGATCAGAAGTACAGTTGTATTTTTACCCTTTACTTAGAATCCGCTTTATATGATTTACTGGGCGGTTGTAAACTCGGCCAGAGGAAAAAAATATGTTCAAAAGGTCTATGGTTAACTCGGCAGTGTTTTTTTTTCAGGTAAAAATTATTTAGATATAAACTTAGCCCAAATATAAATATACTTGTAATATTTTTTTAGAGGCGAATGTAAGTTCCCACACGACTACACGAGATATAGTAGGTAAAATGCATACGTAAGTTAACACACGAAAAAAAATTACACCCGTACGTATAAGTTCCCACTCGAAAAAAAACTACACCAAATACAAACTTCCTTCCCACTTTATTCAGACTTAGGACTGACAACTTAAATGTATAGTTGATGTGGTTAAAATTTGTTTGTTTTTTTTGTTGCATATAAAAAGTACAATCAATTTTTTGATTTAATCTAGTCCGAATGTATAAAAATTAATAACATAATGTGTAGGTGTGGTCCACATAATATTTGTTTAGGTATAAAATAATAATAGTTATAACTTATAATAATTATAATAATAGTAATAGAAAAAATTAAATTTTATTTGGCTTATTGCGAAAGCTCAAACACTTCACATAGTCATACTGTGTAATTATTTTTAAGTTATAATCTGATATTATTTTGTTATTGATATAGTTTCCCCCCCTAGGATTTGGGCTAGTTCTGATACAAGTCTGCGAAAATACAAATAATATGTGGACCTACACATTATATTATTAATTTTTATCATATATTTGGACCAACTACGTTTAAGTTGTCAGTCGTAAGTCTGAATAAATTTTCGTGTGGGAACTTACTAAACCACTTTTTGAGTATACCATTTGGCATTACCCAGAGGACACCACGAGAAGGCGGTTCTCACGATCGGACTATAGTCCAAAAATTATTTTTATTTGTATACTAATGTTTATTAATATTATAAAGAACCTTATTTTCAGAATCGGATCTCTAATAAAAATTATTATTTATAAATACATTTTTTTCACTTATTTAATTAGATTTTTTAAGTTCATTTCTTTAAGTTTTAATGGCATTTTTGTGTGTATTTTAGGTCATCAACATCCTAACTCTAGTTATGAACATATTATTTAATTCACGCTATATTATATACGCATAACTTACTAAAAAAATAAACTTTCGTAAAAAACCCACATTGCCCGCCGCAGCGAAGAACGTCGTATCTCTGTTTTCACGATTTTTAATATTGTCATAAGTATTTTTGTGTAGTTCCCGCGTAAAGTAAATGTAAAAGTAGTAAATGCATTTTATTGTATATAACGTCTTTGATTGGTATATGCTACTATCGGGGAACTACACAAAAACAGTTATGAGAACTTGAAAACAAAAAAAAATTGTGAAAACAAAGATACTTTGCCGACCTTTTTCGCTGTGGCAGGCGAAATAATGTACATAGTATAAACTTTCATAACAGGTCGGTTACTCTTTCACTTTAAAGTTTAAACTGACGGAGCTAAACGCGTTCTCCAAATTTGTAAGACGAAGACAACAAATTAATGGATGTGTAGGTGTCGCGGTCGGTCATTCATTATTAAGGAGTAAAATGTAGGCAATTCAATTCGCATGTCGAAACGTGCACGTGTGTGAGCACAGGCGCAATTTGGGGGGCTTGGGTGTGCTTAGCACACACACATTTTTTCATGTTAATTCACATTCTTATACCTAGTCATTATGTATGAAAAACCGTTTTTTATTTATATTTGTAAACAATATTATTATTTAAAAAACTAATCAAGTGATATTGTGATGAAACGTTTGTGTATGTAGACGGGCAATGCGTAAGACGTGCAGTAAAAACATAAAATCATAGTGAACATTTTAAATTCAGATTATTTGTAAATACAGTAGCGGTGTCGTTAACACCCATTCGGCGAAAACATGGCTTTACGCATTTGCAGTGTGACAAAATATATTACTCAGAATATTCTATGGACAAAACCCCAATCCAACATTTAAATTTCATTAGTCTCCCGATTTTTAATATTTTTTCTAGTTTTGAAAAAAAAACTGAGAATTATTTAATACCATAGGACATGATATTATATCCATTATGACGTGTTTTTCACGATCCTATGTGTCCAACGTTGCTTACATTTAGTATTTAGTATAGTATGATTATATATAATATTTTATATCTAAAATAATCAGATGCTCGATATAGGTATACTTTTTTGGCCTCAATTTATTCATATAGGTAGGTAGTTTTTATGTTTTGATGGGAATACAAAAATTGTATTTCGGGTAGGTATAGGCATTACTTGTCCGTCTCTCTGAGTTATGGGACATATTACTACTTGAACTACACCAATTTTCTGGATAAACATTGGTAAAATAATATAAACTAGTCTGAACAATACCAAAATATGCTGCAAAATATTCAATAATAAGTTTTCGTTTTATTCCATTAGTTATTCATACATTTTAATTTTTTAATTTTCATAATGCTTCATATAATTACTAGTCCAGTTTCTACTACTCTAGAACATATACTAGCGAGAGAGCACGCCGATTTTGAGCATCCCTCCACGCCGCCATGCTATCGAGACCAATGGGCAATGACAGGGTGTTAAGTCGGGGAACTTGTTTTCGTGGGTGCTTGGCGAGGTCTCTCGCTGAACAGAGTAAATATATTATAGTAACTTATATATTGGAACACAACCTTATGTTTTCTGTTGAGACTAGAATCACTAAAATTTAAAAATTATACTTAGTCACACAATAATTATCAATTAAATTAAACGAATTCACTACTTTCTATAATAACTAAACAATTCAATAACATTTAGTTTGATATTTATAAAAACAAATATATCATGACTGGCAGTTATTTTTAGTTTATCATTGTCTCCTGTTCATAAAACATGAATGCAGAAGTTGAAATATTAATTTTATTAAAATACCCATACAAAACTTAATACCAGAACTAAAAGGAACTGAAAATATAAATACTTGTGGATTAAGATTACAATATAGTACCGGAAGCTTATATCAAACTTCCCCAACTGATCGGTTATGAACATCTCTAAACTGTCTAAATTTAAATACATGCAACTATTAACTATTTTTTTTTAAAGAATATTTGTAAAATTAATAATAATAATAATAATAATAATAATATGGTTTATTGTGTATGTTGTACATACAATTCACATACAACAAACTTAAGTACAATTTTCTTTTATTAAATATTTTTTTTAACTTATAACCTAATTAAAATAGAAAAGATTTCGTATATTTGAATCTCAAAAACAAAATTTTAAACTTATTATTGTTAATTTTATAAAATAATGATTATGAAAATATATTATAAGTTATAAGAAAAGTAATTCATAATATTTCAAAATTTTTAATATTTTAATTGTTATGTTTATTTGTCAATTAAAAAAATGCAGTAAAATTTAAAAAAAAATGAAGGAAATATTTGTTTTATGAAAATAGATCAATAACAAAGGTTTCAGAATTTTCACTATCGTTAGATGGAGGTGAAACATAAGTATTTTGTGATAGACGTGTTGGTGAATTATAATTTGCAAATCATTAGTAGATGCCGGAAAAGTTGTTGGTGTGTCATATTGACTTAGAGATAACGAGGAATGATTTGGTTGAGCATAAAATATGTTTCAATCAGACAAATTTTGATGTAAATAATTAGTAGGAAAGCGTTGTACAACAGAGCAAGATCTTGGAGTAATTAAGTTGTGGTATTTTTTAAGGAGACCAATGAATTTAGCCTTAGCATCAAGCTTAAATTCTCGAGGAATATTTTTAAAAGAGCTCACTAAACTAAGTAAAAATAATGTATCTTCATCGTCTTTGTCTTCTGCCTTTTTCCTTTCTTCACGCATTTTACTATAAGATATATTATGTAGGTACATCAGTATTTTGTGTCCCATATTATATTTTACCTACATACATTTTAAGATAACAATTGTTTATAAGCTTTTGCCAATTCATTTGTCTTTCACGGCCTTCAAAGTGTCATGTGCATTATATTTTGGACCAGAGGTCTTTCTAACATAGTTTCTAACCCTATATTATAAATAATTTATATTAAGTTGATATTTTACAATTGCCCCAATTAAGTTTTTTCATTTGCCCCAAGTCTCATATATTTTTTATCAACTACAACAATGACTTGGAGCAAAATTGACCCATATATTGTACTCAAAACATGCTAAATCTATTCAGAATCTATTAACAAATAAAATGGATTAACTTTGATTATACTTTCGTTTTTGAAGATGTCAGGGAATATCTGCCTTAACTCTTTAAAACGAAAAAAAAATAATTGAAGATATGTTTTAATAAACAATATATGTGTACATAACATCAGATAAAATATTATTCTGACAACAATCATGAAAGAATAATAAACATACAATGTATGACTTTTATCAGAATGTGGTTTTATCAACAGCTTAAGATTGTATCTAACATGTTTAAATTTACCCCAGCTGACCTATTCAGCGGTTTTTAATTATTAAATATGATAATTTATGGACGTATGCTAGGATGACACACCGTCTCCGCTCATAATCGTTTTCAAATGCAAAGAGTTATCATTAAATTCAATACTAACATGCCCGTTATAATGACGTACTCTGCAACTACTGTACAGCATAGTGGTACTCACTTGTCCACCTTTTTTTTTTAAACTCTTGTAGTAAAACAAGCAAATAGGAATAAAATATCATTGAATAGAAAAAATTAAAAATACAACTGAAAAGCTTTATATTATCTTACAAAATCTATTTTATACACAACACATACCAGAAAACAGACAGATTTAAACGAGGATTTAAAAAAACAATCTAATTCAGTCCATCAGAATCATCAGCGCCAGACCTGACTTCATTAATTTCCATTTCAATTGGCTTTTCTTCATCATCTGATGAAAAATCAAGACAGTGGTGCCTCTTTCTTCTAAGGTGATATGAATATAGCGTTTGAGATGAACCACCATATTGAAAACTGGAAGAATAATTAAAAGTTAGTGAGAATATTCTTAGTCTTCTCAAATACTATCAATTAAAATGAAAAAAAGCTTATAAATATATACATATACAATAATTAAAAAATAGTTAAACAATAATTTTCTTACCAGTGTTTTGGTGTCGAATGTAGAATTCGAGTTGATGTTAATGGTTGGTAAGTAGGGTTAGAATTGATTGAATCAATAGAACTCAAGGAGTGATTTTCAGCATCAATATCATCAGCACCAGATCTAATTTCAATAATGTACATTTCAATTGGCTTTTCTTCATTATCTGAATAGAGTATTATGATGGTTTCAACAACAATACGCATTGGTGGAATTGCTTGAACTGAAATTAAAAAAAAAAATTGAAATATGTAAGCTAAAAGGATGCCACACCTGTGTGTGTATTGTTCTCGTCTTAAAATGAACAATATAGCAAAGTTTCCTCTCACAACAATCCATAGCCACCAATAGCATACATAAGACCCTCCAAGAATCCTACACTAACACCTTCACGACATGTGCAACATGTGTCAAGTGTAGGATCATAATATTTTACGGTTTTCAACACTATTCTATTACCACCTCCAACTTACACAGTTTATTTAATGAAATGTATTAAAAATTAGAAACAAAGATATAATACAATTATTCACCTTAAATAAACAATTGTTGAGTATACCAACACCCCAATTCTCAGTTGTCTTACCAGACAACATTCGACATTTTTGAATACTGACATCGAAAATCTTGGCAGTCTTTAAATTATTAGTAGTATCTTTGCCACCAACCTAGAGTTACAAAATAATATATATATTTATAATATAAAATAAGTAAAATATTGGTTTAACTCACACTTATAAAGTCTATGGTTTAACTTGCATATATACAATCATCCATAACTCCTAATCGTGTTCGACTAACAAACATGTCGACAATTGGCAACCAAGAGGGTGATTGAGAAGATAGATTTTGAATTTGATTTATTTACTCCTCCCGCAACAAACACAAATTGATCCCTTTATTACACCTAGATCAGCTGTCTGACGACAATCATTTATTCCTGGTGCATTTTCTCGTAGTTTAGTTACTGACTCACCATTCTGTATAATACATTGGTGATGTATTAGACTGACTGAACATTAGAATAACCTAATAGAATTAAATGAAATAAATAATTGTGAAGATAAACTAATCAAAACAGAATTATACTTTTTGTGAATCACCAAACTGTCTAGGTTTACACCAAATTGTATTTGGAATGACGATATACTGAACTGATTTTTGTAGATTACATTGTAATGCATCAAATACATATAATCTTTACCTAATAAAATTATAAATACATCAATTCACAATAATAGCATATTTATGAAAATAACATACATTTAGAAGTATTTTTTAGAAGAGATTCTTTAGATATATTAAGTATATATCAGGCTTTAGTTATGTCAAAGGTACAAGTTCTATTACTTCTAGCAAACAATCTTTTATCTGATCCAACTTATGACTTACCCATGAAATGGCACATTCATTATTCATATACCTAAAATAACAAATATTTAAAACTAAATCAAAACATATTAATTTAGAGGTTCCCAAATTTTTTTGAACCAAGATTTTTGTGTATTGTGCTAATTGTGTGAAATAATAATAATAATAATATTATTATTATTTATTGTTATCAAATTAAAATTAAATGTACAAAACATGTTATAAGCATAAATTAATTAATCTTTGGTTCTCTTTTTAAAAGCAAAGCTTGTGCAGAAAAGAATGCGATACAAAGTCTTAAGTATTAAGAAATGAAAATAAAACAAAAATAGAATTAATAATAACAATAGAACAATATAGATAAGGATAATAACAACTAATATATTAAAACATATTAATAGCGCAAGCACAGATTAGGTAGACCCATTCGGTGCCTTAGCCATTCGTTATTGAAATGAACTAGAATATAGACATATAGTAGAGTTTAATTTTATAAAATAAAAATGATAATATGAAAGTTATACTTTTAGTATTACATAGAGAAAAAGAAAATAATTACAGTAAGAAGTAGATAATCAATAGAAAACTTAATATACGCAGTATACAATACAATACAAAAGGCATTATTGCAACAAACATTATTATATATTTTTTATACATTTTAAAGCTGTTAAAATCATCAACATTAAAATTATATTTAATACAAAATGTTATGAACTTATATTTAGGGCTAATAATACTGTATTCATTTTAGGGACAATAACATTAGTATTAACCTTAAAGCGTGTATTATAATTGTGACACGGAACATCAATACAAGTTTTAATACTGTAAAACAATAGGCAAATGTTTTTTGTGTATAATGTTTTTAAGTTTAATATCTCTAACTCTTTATATAAATTAACTGTAGAAAATAGTGCTGGTTTATTGAAAATAAATTTGAGTAATGAGTTTAAAGTGATTTCAAGGTTCTGAAAGTGAGTATGATATGTTCCTCCCCAAAATGAAATCCCATAAGAAATAATAGATTGAATTAATGTAAGGTATGCAATTATTTTAATTTGACGTTTAAAATACATCTAAGAGATTTATATATGTAGAAAAATTGTACAGAGTAATCAATATCAAGTTCATTACTATAATCGTTATCAATTTTTACTCTCTGTACTCGACCGTTTAGGTATGATTTAAATAACCTATAAGAACACCTCTAATTCCACAATGATAAAGTTTGTAGAGTAGAATATTATGATCAACTGAGTCAAAAGCTTTTTTTATTACTAAAAAAATTCCAAAAACATGTTGCTTATTGTTTAAGGAGATTTTTGGTAGAAAAACTGCATGAAGTCACTAGGCCAGGCTCGGCCCAATCTCCTATCTTAGTTGCTTATTTTACACAATGTATACAAACATTTTATTTTTGTAGTAATATGTGATTTATTGTGCTTAATTAAGCCTTAATACGATAAAATTATCAACATTTCAACATAACATTTGGTTTTTTTAATATTAAAAATTCCAAGAGATATTTTCGTTGAGTACAGACATTCAAGTAACAACAGCGAAGTGCATTGCATTATTTTGATAAACATTTTAAATATTTCAAAAAAATTAAACATTAGAAAAATTCTGGTTCCACTAACGTTTTTTATATATAAAAACACACCACATACATCCTACAAAAATTAAAAATATGCTGTAAAGGTAGATAAATTATTGTGTGATGCAAGTAACATTTATGCAAGATATGCAACAACCACGACTCACGAGCCTGGCCCAATAATGTTAAGCTTCTTTTTAGAATTCCTTACAACACATTAAATAATGTGAGTACAAACGTTAAACCTATACATTATTACTAGAACTAAACATTTTTTTTAATTAAAAACTTATTTTTTTGTATTTGTGCTCCTTTAAAATAAATAACTTAAATAACAATGTCTTAAAATATACTTGGTAATATGTATTATTAAACCGTATTTGTTCACAATCGTTTTTCGTATACAAGAATATAAGATTTTAGATCATTGAATTCTAATAATTCAACACATTTGTTATAGCAATCCCTCTAGACACCTCCTGTAAAGCAGAGCAATACCCACTTCCCCAACTTTTTTAAGTTGATTTTCCATACAAAATATTAAAATACAAATTACCAGTACTGCAGTTTGCTTAGTTTTTCTTTGAATGGAATAGCAAGGTATTACAGCTTCACCAAATCATCAGAAGATAAGGATAGAAAATCTTTGATTTTAACCACTTCTCTGGAAATAAAAATCATTATTTTTATAAATAATTACTGATTGATATAGATAATTAAGTTACAATTGTCATACAAAAAGTGTTGTTTAATGTAAGCTTCAGAACTCAACA